CGCCATGCAACAAAACTCGTGGAAGAGACGTGCTGCATAAAGGAGGCAAGGTCTTTCACCATCGCGCTCGTGAAGGTGAAATGCATAGTACTCCTTGGCACTAAATCCTGGCGGTCATCCAGCCTCCGAGGCACGTCGGACAGACCAACTATCAATTCCCTCCGGAAAAAGTAAAACAAACCTTAAGCAATCGTGCGCTCGAGAACATTCCGGAACCACAACTGTCTGCCGCTTACCAGGAAGAGGAGCACACAAACGAATCTCCAGCTCACAAGGAAGGAGTTCAACGGACATCAGAACACACACCTCATGTAGACCCATAGGACGGTTATAACGCCTTGCATGTTCCTCCTCAGGCATGGCATCCGGATTTATGACCAACTTCCTCCCATTCAAGGTTTCCTGCGGAAGGTCAACAACCGTCATAAAGTTCTTCACGTAATTGTTACATTCTTGTAGCAATTCGTGAAACCTTCTCAATATTCGTTTCGCTCGATCAAGTTCGGCATCGGGTGTACGTGCAGGTAAGTTAAGGAAATCCACTCTTTGATCAATCGCATCGTCCAAACGTTGAGGATCGTGCAAGTATAGTTGCGCAAACTGAGAACGTTCTCCTTCCCCGACAGTCAATGCACCGATACGATGAAAGATTGGACCTTGAGCCCGAAGTTGACCCTGAAATCCTTGAATACCATCACTCGGCTGCTTCAACCGCGAGGATGCGAGGGATAAACTATTATTAATTATCCTCTCATTATTTCGAAGGAATCGGCCGTCGGAACTTTGAGATGTCCAAAGGGAAAGAATCTCATGCTCAGGCGAGCCTTCGCAAGACCATTCCCATAATGGACAACGTTTTGTACCTTTTCGACAACACATCTTCGTCCATTTTGTTTCATGATGCCACAATTTAGCACCACAATGCTTACACGGATCTCGACTGCGAATGCCGAATGGTTCAACAGTGCTAGCATTCGCAAAAATCGCTACAATGTTTTCAAGCGCCGCATATGTTGTTTCTACAGATGCCGATGGCAGTGCATTAAGATCAGGAGCTGGAGCATCATGCAAATCATTCATTTCTTCATCGCGACTATTTGGTTCACTGTCTTCATGATTGTTCATTGGATTTCGATTTCTCACGGACAGATTTTGCGATTGCTTTGCTCGCGATGACAGACTCTACGAGTGCCTTGCCCGGGAAGATTGACTCCTCGATTGTCTCGCAGGAGAAAATGCATTCCTCGATTGCGCAGAGGCGCTGACTCGAATCTCTCGAAGGATATTCACAGCGAACAAACTTCGCCTCACACGTCGTACAAAATTTTTATGAGCACGCACATCTTCTTTCCTCTTATGATTCTTAAGCGCAGCTCTCAATGCATGCATATGTTTAACATCAACATTTGGTCGTCTTCCCCGCTGTTTCCTTCGTTTTTAATTTATACGCGACCTAGAACATGGTTCGTTCACATTCATTTTATCGACTTGCTCTATTCGTTCACCAGCCTCTACAGTACTTTCAACAACCATTGCACTTACATCATAGTCCGCTGACACATGGTGAGGCATCGACGACAACGATCCAAGTTTCAAACGACGCACGACTTTATTTGCACGGAGCTGTCGAATTAATACCATACGGTACCGTCGGTTGCGCCTTGAACGAATCGGTTTCCATAATAATAATCTTTTCCGTCGATTATGAAATCCAACAAACTTTCTAATGAACGTGTTCGGCGAATTCGGCAGGGTCGTGGCAGCAGAAGATGGATTTGCATGAACATCCGTCAAGGGAGGACAAACATTACTCTCCACAAATTTTTGTGGGACATCGGCAGTCAATGTGGATGATAAACAATTGTGCACATGTGCCGAGTGCGAGGGAAAATTATCGAGTGAAACGGATCTTTCGACAATCGAAACGGAATCTGCATTTATTGCAACATCCTTACGAATTTCAAGTGGACGTTCACTTTGCAAGGCCATAGAGAGATTTTTAAGACAACTAATGCGATCCGTACCAACATTATTATCTCCTCGACTCATTCTGTTGAAAATACGGGGCTTGTGAAATCATTCATCGATGGAATTGATTGTCGAAAAGATAGAGACCTATCACTACATTGTTCTTCATTAGAACAATCAAGAGTATAATCTTGATTTACCACCGGTTATTTATCTCTACTGCAAGCAGTTGACTCATCTACAACATCTACCGCCTGTAATAAAGACCTCCGGGTTCGACGACTTTGGGAAGGTGGTCGTCCGCGTTTGCGGTGTTCGTGTTGTGATGGCATTGCCGTCTCACTCGTAGAGCGACAGGGAGTAATATACGAACCTATACGTAATCCCAATCCATGATTGGATGAGGAAGAAGGGTCTTCGAATGGTGACAAACCGACTTGACCTGGAACAATGGAAGGACACCGAGCACATTTTGATATTATCGGCAAGGACACCAAAGGATCATTAATAACCCTTTCAAAAGGTCGCCGGCGTTTGCGACGCTTCCACGGAACATGCAAGGACCTATCCGCAGGTGAAGAGAATGTTGAAATGGTGGATAGATTACTATTGGTTAAAATGTCACATGACTCTTGGTCCTTTGCAAAATTAATGGGCACGTACGTACGTATTTGTACATGGGCACGTACGTACGTATTTGTACATGGGCACGCCACGGTGGATAAGAGGAGTAAGATGCATGTAGACAACCGGAACGAAAATAATACAGCTCAAAACATCCATATATAGATGTAATTATATGAAGAAGAGTAATATAGTATATGGTATCAGGTAGAAAAGAGAAAAAAAAAGAAAAACAAAGAAGATACGGTAAAAAAAAAAAAAAAAAAAAAAAAAAAAAAAAAAAAAAAAAAAAAAAAAAAAAAAAGTCAGTTCGTTTTTTTTTTTTTCAACGCGTCTATCGAGGTTAATGAATGTTAACTTACATCGGAATTTATTCGTACAGGAGCACTTTCATGTTCAGGTGCGCTTTCATGTTCATGCAAATGTTTGATCGAGACCGGAACTTTTTCGAACTTCTATTGAGGTTCATTAACATTCCTCCTATTTTTTTCATATGTCTCATTCGTTTGTTATGTTCGATTTATGATCCTATACGCCCTTTAGTCTTTTGAGGGCCCCATGCAATAGAGTCATACGTACCTCGTCTATCCACGCTTGCCCTTTGTCATTCTCCGGCAGGGCTCACTTTCCTGTTCAGATAAATTTGTCACTAGGATCGGAACTTCTTTTGGCTCCAATCCACCGTAATCGAGGCGGCTCTTACTTGCGGCCAGCCTTAGGTATCCTAAGTCAGTCATCCGTCCACAAAAGATTTGAAAAAGGTAACATGTCTTCACCGACCTTTCCGAGCCCGGATCGCTAGGAAGTAGTTCGTAGTACCCATTCTCCTCGCCTGAGCACGAGGTCCAGATCTCAGAAGTAGGCGTTAATTCCACCGCAACAACATTCCACCACCCCCATAAATGGGTCTATGCGGTGTACCGCACCTCCCCCCAGCCAGCCTCGAAGGTCGTGGATCCAGGAAGAGTCATTCCTAGAGATCGAGGTCGGGCAAACCGTTGATGGTCTCACCTTTCTTCTCCTCTTTTGCTTGGGCGACTTTGATGAAATAGGAGCAGAGGGGTTAGAGAACAAGACTTTTTGGAACAGGTCTAGGCGGGAGGAGGTCATTCAGGATAGCATGGGTGTCTTGGGAAAAGGCTACATTCATTGCCATTTTTATTCTTTCTTATTGGATTGGTTCCTTCTCCAATATTCATTCGAAATATATGGTGTAACCCAACCAGACCAATAACACTTAATTTGCTTCATATGAGTGTTTGAGTATTTTCAGCAGCCCATGTAGACCAATCATACGTACCTTGATTATTATTGAGCACCCTTTGCTTTCCTTCAATAACGTTTACTTGAAGGCGGTCTAAGTTTATTGTTGTTTTTTAATCTTACTATCGAGACTCTTCCTTTCTAATTATTCATAAAATTCATACTATAATATCATAGAACATTTAAGCCTACATTTCTTTTTTCCAAACTTCTTACTGATCTCAACCGGTTTTGAACATTATTTCATGTTTATATTTTAAGGGATACTCACCTGATTGATTTTTAAAAATAAGCAGAACAGTATAAGAACGAACACACAAAACCATACAATATTGACAAAGAAAATTCAACAAATGTTAGCAACTAAGCATTAT